GCCTGCACGTTGCAGGAACCCTCTCACCCGCTTGTAAAAACTTTTTTTTAGTATACGCGATAATTCGTTTGCAAGAGCCTGTACAATCGCATATTTACAGAAGCCCTCTCATTCGGACTTCTCACGCACCATGCCTTTGACCGACAGCATGGCAATTGGTAACAGCGGTGACGAAGGTTCGCTCACCGAAAGTTATAGCACAGTACCACGAATTCCGCTGCCGCAAATGAGTGAGGAGAACATCAAGGCCTACTTCTATGCCTTGGAATTCTGGTTTCAGGCCTCGCTCGTATATTCCGACATCAGAAAATTCCACATCGTATTGACGAGCCTTCCGCCAAATTAACTCCTTGAGCTCAGGCCAATCATCGAGGCAGCACCTCCAATCGACAAATTCAAGTACATAAAGCAGAAGGTGAATGATCACTTCACAGATAGGCAGCAACGGCGCTTACAAAAGGTGCTCAAAGATATGCCACTCGGTGACCGCAAACCAACCGAGCTTTTTAGAGAGATGAAGTGTGTTGCTGGTACCACACTCAACGACAGCTTGTTGCATGACTTGTGGGCATGGGCGTAGCCATAACGAAATTTAAGGAGGGGCCCATACAAAAAAAAGAAATTCAAAACCAATAACTTACTAAAAATTGTTTACTATAGCTTAAAACTATTGTAACCAATAGAGGTAAATATGTTGTAACTAACTGCTGTAACTATATAAAACTATTCGTCGATTTAAATTGTTAACTTTTTACTGAGCATGTTTATTTTACGAGGAGGAAGCATCGAAAGCCTAACCCCATCAGTGTGAGACTTTAACCCAAACTAAACGTCATGTACCGTTCCCCTCCCGGTACCACCGTCAAGGAATTCGTCGGGATTATAACACTGTGTGACTGATAAGTTTATAGATCTATTATCTTCTTATTTGGCGCTGTAACCGCCAAAGCGATTTTGGCCAACTGACGCCAATTGGAAATGCCAAGTGAAGCCAGAATACTTTCAGAGCTGGGGCGTCGGTGTCCGTTCGAACGACATGGTCAAGCCAGTTGAGCCGCTGTATTTTAATTCGCCATATACCAGCACGGGCTTGATGAGTGACTTATAGTGCGATTTGCACGAAATTGCATACAGTGTCAACGGTCAAAGGTTACTCGTCACAACAGTGCGACACTTCAGCGGATTAAAACGCCAACTCAACGCTTTTCTCATCTTCACATTGACATCGTTGGACCTTTCCCCTTATCTGATGGCAGCCGATATTTATTAGAGATGACTCCATTCGGCCATCGCTTTCACCGCCGTACAAGGGACCCTTTAAAGTTTTGCGTCGGACACCGAAGTACTACACAGTTGAAATGGGAGGCAAGCATGTCAAGACCACCATCGATAGACTCAAGCCCGCTTTTGCTGCTACCGTACCTGGCTTCTAAGAGGGGAGTAATGTGGCGTACCAACATAACTAATTTCTAAAATTATCATTTTCATAATTTTGCTACTTTACATTTGAATTGTAATAACTTTAAATTGTGTGTTATAATGTTCGCTGTACAACACTAAATCATTCCATTTATTTCATTAGCGTTTACAAACACTTGTTTTTGACATTAAGTCATTCTCGCATTCGCTCTTCGGTTCGTTCTTACATTTGTTCTTACATTCGGCCTATTCCATACCTGGCATCGAATCGACACACACGTGGAGGATAAGTATTCTATAAAACTCTTGAATAAAGACTAAGTTTAAGCAATAGAATCGCGTTTAAACCTAAATATATATTCGGTATGCGTGGAAAAGCTTAGTTTCGTGTCGAAATAGACACCTAGATCCTTGACTTCATTAACATGATTAAGAGGTGATCCAGAAATATGATAGCGCGTGGGGAGCGGAATTAGCTTTCTGGTATATGTACAATGTGAGCACTTATTTATATTTAGATGAAGACGGTTTCGTATGCGCCAATCATGTAGTTTAACAAGTTCTCCTTGAAGGGCAATATAATCGTGTATGCTTTTAATGACAGAATAAATTTTGAAATCGTCCGCATATAATATGTAGATATTTAGATGACGAGAAGCAGGGCCCTATGTCATTAATAAATAAAATAAACAACAGTGGTCCAAGTATACTACCTTGAGGAACACCCGACGTCGCGATAAAAGGCTGTGAGTAGACATCCCCGAACACAACCATGCAATTTCTGTCAGACAAATATGATTTTATCCACTCCAAAAAATTAGAGTTGAAACCCATGGAGAATAATTTAGACACGAAGACCTTGTGAGAAACTCTGTCAAATGCCTTTGAAAAATCTGTATATATTGTGTCGACTTGCTGGCCTGCTTGAAAAGCAGACAGACAATCTTCCGTAATAATTGCAAGATTGGAGACTGTGGACCTTCCTTTAAGAAAACCATGTTGGTTTGGACTAATTAAGCTGCCAACTGAGAATGACAATGGCCCTTATTATGAGTTGCATTCGATTTTCGATCTTCGCTGGTTATCGAAGATCGAATGTAAAATTGGTATTATGAGATATGCAACCCTGTCGAAATTTTCGTTGAGTATCGAATTTTCAGTCGAGCAGAATTCTGCTTTCGATGATGCAGCGTAGTGTGAGAAAATTGCTGATAATGTAAGTATTTTGCGTTTGTTTTTTTATTTTTTGGCGACTAAACAGTAATTTTAAACAATGTTTATTAATTTCATGCAGGTCTAAGGTCGTGAGTACCAAACAACAACTGGAAATGCTGGTTTCAATGATGGAACAAAATCGTCAATTTGCAAAAGGGATTTGCTCAAAGGTTAATGCGGCAAAAAAATGGGAAGAATTTACGCAAGAACTCAATTGTTTAGGACCACCTATACGAACGACGGCCGCTTTCGACAGCACGAAGAGAAGTTGCCTTTATGCCGCGATGTCTGAATTTGGTATCCCCGCGAAACTAATACGGCTGTGTAAAATGACGTTGAGCAATACCACCAGCTCCGTCAGAATAGGGAAGGACCTCTCCGAGCCGTTTGATACCAAACGAGGTTTCAGACAAGGGGACTCCCTTTCGTGTGATTTCTTTAATCTTATGTTGGAGAAGATAATAAGAGCCGCAGAACTGAACCGCTCAGGCACAATACTTTATAAGAGCGTACAATTGCTGGCGTATGCCGACGACATCGATATTATCGGTAAAAACAAGGGCTACGTCTGTTCTGCCTTCTCGGGATTGGATAGAGAAGCAAAGCGAATGGGTCTGGTGGTGAACGAGGACAAAACGAAGTATCTCCTGTCATCACACAAACAGTCAGAGCATAGGCGTCTTGGCACCCACGTCACTGTTGACAGTTACAAGTTTGAAAAAGTAGACGACTTCGTTTATTTGGGAACCAGCATTAACACCAATAATAATGTCAGCCTTGAAATCCAACGGAGAATCACTCTTGCCAACAAGTGCTACTTTGGGCTGAGTAGGCAATTGAGAAGTAAAGTCCTCTCTCGTCGTACAAAGATCACACTCTATAAGTTACTCATCATGCCTGTGCTGGTGTATGGCGCGGAAGCATGGACAATGAAAGCATCTGATGAGGCGGCTCTTGGAGTTTTCGAAAGAAAGATTCTGCGAAAGATTTACGGACCTTTACGCGTTGGTGATGGCGAATATCGCAGACGATTTAACGATGAGCTGTATGAGCTTCACAACGATATAGACATAGTGCAGCGAATTAAAATTCAGCGGCTCCGCTGGCTTGGCCATGTCGTTCGGATGGACAGAAACGCTCCTGCTCTGAAAATATTCAACGCGGGCCGCGATGCTGGTAACAGAGGAAGAGGAAGGCCTCCTCTGCGTTGGAAAGACCAGGTGGAGAAGGACTTGGCTTCACTTGGCATTTTCAATTGGCGTCAGTTAGCACAGAAGAGAAATGACTGGCGTGCTGTTTTGGACTCGGCCAAAATCGCTTAGGCGGTTACAGCGCCAATTAAGAAGAAGAAGATACGAACGACGGCAAAATGGATTAAGGTGAACTGCGTCGTTTTTGATTTCTGTATAACTAAATTTTAGTTCTGGTCTTTTCAGGTGTGGGCTGACATGAAGGCCAAAACTAAAAAGAAAGTAGCGCAAAACAAAGCTGAATACCGAGCAACAGTTGGAGGACCGAACAGACTACAAGCATATACAAATATTGAGGAGGCCATAATTGGCTTGCTTGAGCTTGACGCCTGTGTGAACCCACCGGGAGCAGAATTCGGCCTGGATATAACTGCTGATGACCAACGCCTAGATTCGGTAGAGGCGGCTCCATCAGATGAAAACCTGCAATCAATAGACAATTTAGGATTGAGCGATGAGGACCACAATAATGCAGTTCCGGAAAATTCAGCACGGAAACCAAGAGCAAGAAAGTGCAACAAGACAGAGAGGTTGAAGTTGCTGGAATCGCAGACCAATGCCCAGAAAAGGTTCTATGAGGAGATGATTACAAATATAAAGGACATTAAAAAAAGTGCTTTAGAAACTGAAAAGTACACGAGATAAATGTATTACTTAAAAAAAGACACAGCAAAAGAACTTTTACAATTGAAAAAATAAAAATTACAAATCTTCAAAAATGAATTTCTTCAAAGCCAGAAGGATCGGAGAGCAAAGCTACAACTAAAGGTTGCGCTTTTGGAGGTAAAGAAACAAATGCTGCCAAGAACATAATTTTATATTAATCTAAGTGCCTAAAATGAATTGACGTGATATTTTTTTTTTATATAATTAGAATTAAGAAGACTGTTTAACTTTAAGATAAATGAATTAATGAGCTATTTTTTTCTGTATGATAAATTTAGAAAGACTGTTTAAACTTAAATTACGATTACGTTACGTTAAAATAAGGAAATGAATTTGTGATAATTTTTTATGTAATGCACCTACATACATGTGTATGAAACCAAAAAGATTTTTAGTTTAATAAAAGAAACCTTGGCGTAACTGGTTTTTAATATTTTTTAATCATGTTTTCTATAATGTTCTTAAAATTTCATTTCTTATGTCTTCTGCTTGTGAGTTGTCAACAGGTTCCACTTCAACGTCTCCGACATCATCGTCATAAGTCACATTTGAAAACTTCTCCTCGTCGAGGATTTGTACATTATAAAACAAGCAAATGTTGTGCAAAGCTGCACACACATTTATAATTTGTGTTGCTTTTTTTGGAGTATAGTGAAGAGCTCTTGCCTGCAACAAACATCTAAACCTATTCTTCAAAACTCCAATTGTTCGCTCAATAATACTTCTTCCTTTGGCATGTTGTTTGTTATATGCCCTTTGTAGAGATCCTTCCTCAGATTTTCTGAACGGCGTCATTAAGTAAGGTTTCAGAGCGTATCCAGCATCACCTAAGGCGGAGAAAATTATTATAAAAAAGGAAATACATGTTGGCTTAGTTTTGATTACATACCAAGTAGCCAAGTATTTCGAGGACCATTAAGATGTTGCTGCTCTAATTGTGTTTTCAATGACGACATATTAAAAACCATAGAATCATGTGTCGCTCCCGGATTTTTGGCATTTATGTATCGTATTTTCATTGTATGATCACAGACCTCAAAATTACATAAGCATACACATTTAGAATCAGAAGTTAATAACACATATGTATATATGTACACTTACAACCATAGCATTAATGCTGAAGAATCCCTTTCTGTTATAATACAAATGCTGCAGTTCCTTCCTAGGTGCGACAATTTTAATGTGTGTGCCATCAATACAGCCGATTATTTCTGGAATTCTACTTTTGTTATAAAAATGTGATTTTGCTTGTTGCAGTTCAGCCTCTGTGTAATTGAATTTTATCCATATTTGGCAAATGAAACTTTCCAGAACATCTAGCACTTCTGATAGCACCACAGACACCGTGGACTGTGCAAGTCCAAGCATATTTTCATTGCCAATGCTAAGTTGGTACGATCCCTGAGCACAAAATCGCAGAACTGTTGCTAGCTTTAAAACATGCGGAATAGATTTCGCTCGGGTGCATTGATTCAGCAGGTCTTCTGTAGTGGTCAGCAGGTCCACAAACGCCTCTTTAGATACTCGGATGTTTTTTATAAATCTTTAAACAAATTTCCTAAATGTTACATATGTATGTCAAAACCTTTTTGGAAGGCCACACTTACGCAGTGTAATCCATTTCTAAGGGGTTGGAAGCGTCCCTCAACCGTTTCCTATTTCTGGCAGCTCCACTAAGCTTTCATCTTCTGATGAATCGTCAAACCACAACTCCGTCGTACTCATTTTCATTAAGTTCTTATCAACTCGTTTTCTTTTTAATTTATTTTTATTTATACAAATTTGTAAACAAACTATTTAGTTTTACGTTTTAATCAACTCGGTTTTTCTTTTATTTTAATTTGCTCAATTTGTAAACAAACCATCTCAGCTGACAGAAATATACTATTGTGAACAACCTAAACGAGCGAAATTCACAATAGCGCTCTTCTTCATCGAATGAGCGCCATAATACTAAATAAAAATTCGTTCGATCAGCACTTTCGACCACAGTCGAAGATCGAATGCAACTCATAATAGGGGCCAATTTCTCCTTAATAACACATTCGAAAATTTTCGCAACTGTGGTTAACTTTGAAATCATACATCATTTTTGTTGCCACTTTTAAAAATCGGGGTTATATGAGCCTTTTAACAATCATCAATAAATTTGCCCGATGCTAAAGACATATTAAAAATCAGTGTCAATGGTTGAATTAATGCAATGTAAAAAGTATGGCTGAAAGACCATCAGGATCCATAAGATGTGAGGTTTTAAGTGAATCAATACAACTACCAACGTCCACTTCCGAAAGTAGTTATAAGCGACCCAAACGCAGGTAGGCATTCAGGAATAAAGGCATTAGCATGGGTAATATCTGAGTCAGAGACAAAATTTGAGGAAAAAAACTGGGCAAAAATATTGGCTGCTTCCTCGGGACAACTTGCATGTTTATCCTTATAAAAAACAGACGCAGGAATACTGGATTTCGAAGATTTGGATTTAATATAACTCCAGAATGCTTTCGGATTTTTTTTTCATATTAGCTCCCTGGTAATTAACGTATTTTGCGTAGAGTAACTTATCGAGTTCATTAAATTTGTTTAAATATAATTGGTATTGCTCATAATAAAATGGTAGTTTAGTCGCTTTAAACTTTTTATGGTACTTATTTTTGCGATTTTTAAGATGCTTTTGATGTTTAGTATACCAACGTATCTTATATATTTTTCTTGGAAAAGCAGGGATATTATTTACGCAAACCTCATAGATTAATGATTTGAAAAGACCAAAGGCATTCGCAGTATCTAAATTACGAAGTAAGTCAGACCAATCGTACCCCAGAATAATATAATTCAAGTCATTAAAATTACACAAGTTATAATTTAATTTGGGACGAGAACTAAATTGTGGAGCAGCAAAATATTCATAGAACTGAGATCGGAGAACTACAAACTGACAATCGAAAATGCAAATTATTAGATAAAAAAACTAAATCTAAAAGCCGATTAAGTTTGTTAAATAAAGTAAAGTAAAAAAAATATTTTTTAAAAACAAGCTTTTATTTAACATGTACAATCAAAGGAATAAAATAAAGTAGTGTAACAAAAGATATTTTAGCAAGAAAATTTTGTCAAAACTGCACTAAAATGAATAAAATAAAATAAGTTATGGTCTCGTTAAAGTTACTAAAAGCCATTTAGTGAAGGGAGTTATTCAAACTCTAATGAAAATTACTAACAATTTGTACTTATTTACTTCGTTTTTAACAAAGTTTGTCGCGCGAATAGCAAACCGGCATTTAAATATCTGCATAGATACATATACATACCTAACCAATTTTGCATGTACGCTGAATTCGCCGACAAGCTTTCTTAAAAACTAAATAAATGAGTACACATTGTTAGTTATTTTCATTAGAGTTTGAATAACTCCTTTCACTTAATGGCTTTTAGTAACTTTAACGAGACCTTAACTTATTTTAATTTATTCATTTCAGTGTAGTTTTGACAAAATTTTCTTGCTAAAAAATCTTTTGTTACACAACATTATTTTATTCCTTTGATTGTGCATGTTAAATAAAAGCTTGTTTTTAAAAAATATTTTTTTCACATTATTTTATTTTATAATTTTTAGTCCATTTATAAAAGCGTTGTATATTAAAAAGTGTTATTTTATTTTATGTACAAAATTTTGCAATAGATATTAAAATAATTCAACTTGCAATGAAAGAGAACAGAAGACTATGCAAGCAAAATGTTGTTTGCTTACGTTTTGTATAAACATACATATCGCACACTAAATCAAAAACTGGCACAACTCAAAAAATCCTAAATGTTCAGGAGAGGCAAAAAACTGTTGACGCTGTGCAATCGATGCAAGCACAACTAAAAAGTTTTAGTAGTATTTTTCCAGTTAAAGAATATAGTGATGAGGAAGAAATTTTCGCGGACGTTGGGTATACGGTCTGTGAACTGTTTTATGGAAAAAAACAAATTTTGACAAATTTTGAGTTGTGCCGGTTTTTTATTTAGGGTGCGATATGTACATATAGCAGCAGTTAATTTCATTTAAAGAAATGGCGTGTCGTCCATTTCCGCTGTAGCGTATGAAAATGGTGCATATATTTAGGCGCAATATTTAACTTCTTCTGGCGGGGCGACATCTGGAGTCTTCTAATTGTATCTCCTTGATATGATGCCTACAACGACGTTCATATCTAGACTAGGTTGATATCTAGAATTTGCAACAAATAGCTTTGCTACACTACCGCCGGCAGCTTTTACAATTTTATAGTGGTTTTACGTTCTTTGGCAAATAACGCTCTGTTAGCCATAAACCTTACTATTTTTTGTCCGCCTTTGAATCAAGACCCCTGGACCATATAGGGAATTCATTTGTATTTTAAATTGCATTGTCATCGTGATTGGAACTATGCTGAAAAGTTCAAGTCTATAACTTGTCGGGAAGTTAGTTTAAAATCGATTGGAAATTTCCGCGATTTCCGCGGGATGGCCAAGTTAAATAAAAGCTTGTAAAAAGCCGTTAACTTGACATAACCCAATACTTAGGAGGCTGTCAGTAACAAGGATTTCACTATCACTAGGAATATTTACTGGAGTTAAGACAAATAGGCTGTTCAAATTACGCCATGAAATATTACATAAATCAAAATCCCCAAGAACACAAAGTTGGTGATCTCCTATACTAGAACTTAGTGAAATAATATTATCGATATGTGCCTTGTAAATCATATAGTTGCTGTTCGGAGGAATATATGAGGCACATAGAAAGAGTAGTCCATCCGGGCACCGCACACTGGCGCATAGTTGATCAAGAATAGAGTCCGTATTCTTCAAAGTGATCGACGTTGAACAGAGTTTACGTTGTATCGCAATTAAAACTCCAGCACCTCTCGAACACCCAGTTTTTAACTCACCTCTGTCCTTCCGGAATACATTATAGAGAGTAGCATCAAAGAATTCAGCATCAAAGAAATTTGGGGTTAACCAACTTTCAATTATAATGAAAATGTCATATTCTAGATGTGAGCTTAGTCTACGAACCACATCACCTTTAGATCGCATGCCAGACACATTATGAAAATAGATTTTCATCTCATTCGCAGGTTTAACATTTACCAGGCTGGTTGAGACTATTTTTCCTTTCTTTGTAAAAAACGAAATTGACGAACCGTACCATTAGCGGGCCAGATTTCTTGCATAAGCAGTTTAGGAAATAGCCCTTCTGGAACACCAAATTTAAAATTCCCATGTTTTAGAGACTCAGTTGCCGCATCTTTCTTTACAAGTTTGAAACAGGATAAACTATTTTTAGAGATGCCCGAATGTTTTTCTACATATATAAGTATATCATCAGTCTCAACGAAACGAGATAAAGCCACTTTAAATGCTCGGCAACCTTAAGATCAGCGTTAGTACTGGATCCAAAAACCCGCAAATCATTCACTTTCTGAACATTATTGAACATTATAGCCCCGATATCATTTAGATCATTAATGCGCGTAGAAGGCGAAGCGGCTGTGTTAATAGGTAAACGCATATTGGCACACCCTAATGATGTTAAAGTATTTACATTTAGATTAGCACAGGCAAGGTCGCGCACTTCGGAATTAGTAGATAGAGGGATAGGCGATGAAGCAGAAATTGTCGAAACTTTACTGGCAGCTGGCGCAGCAGCAGAGACATCGGCCGAGTCGACTTTGTTAGGCGGGCAAGTGCACTCAATACGCCTAACAACATCCACAGCACTAACATCAGTGTCGATTTCAGCAACAGCACCAACATCAGGCATAACAGCGTGATTAACATTAGATTGCACAGAAACTGTATCAGGAGGAGCAGCGTAGCTCGTATAGCAGAACCCATGGGAGACGAAGCAGATGAAAGAGCATCGTTTACAGCGTTCACTTGACAGTTCGGCACTAAAGCAGAGTTATGCTGATTAGGAACATTATTATTATTATTATGATTTGTGCTAGCTTCCAAAGTATTTGCAGATTTTTCCCCAGCACCTGCCACCCCCGAGCGACTGGCAGTAGAGATAAACGTGGATACGCCGTTACTAATCATCGGATTTGGGAGGGGCGAGAATGTGAGCAATTCCATGTCCGAAGATCGGAAACCGGTGAAGTCACTTTTGTTGTTATTGTTATAAGTGGTCACTTCAACAACAACACTTTTCAGGGCATTTACCTCTTTTGTTAATGCATCAATACAATTGGCATTTTTGTTACCATTTGCAGATATTAAAATAATCTGACTTTTTAAAAAGTCAATCTGCGTGACTAAGTCTTTAAATTTTACTTCAAAAGCAGTCATGATTGATTCTAAGCCCATTTTCTAAGTGACACTAATCGATTCAAAGGCTTCGAAAATTTTATCCGGAGTATCAACACAGTCACCACACAGGTAGCGAATATGCCTGTAGGTTGAAAACAACCTCACGACATACTCCGATAGAACCTTCACAACAGGCCCTATGAAAGCGTTTTTTACAGAAACCACCGCAGGGCACAACTGAGGAATCATTCCT